CTCTTTCCTCTCTCTCTCAGCCACAGAAAGTTCTGGCTCCTCCTCTCGTTGTCTGTCTGGTTCTACAGGCTCCGACAGCGGCTGTGTCTCAACCCTCCAGCCGGAGGAGCCGCAGCTACACTCCTCCTCGTCGTTTATTTCAACAGTGAGTCATCAGAGAGTCAACAACTTCTGCCTGACGTCAACGCATTCACTTTAATTCCTTCTTTGTGTGTCCTCAGAAACCTGCTGCTGTCATCGGTCCATCGACCATCGTCTGAGTTCTTTCACCTGTGAGTCATCACTAAACTTTTTCCCTCATCACAGCCTAAACCAGTCTGTGAAGAGAAAAATCACTCACCCACAGATTAAACACATTTAAATGTGTTTTTTTATGTTTAGTGTTTTTTTTTCAGATTTACCTCAGTAACACTAATTGACCACAAGAGGGAGCAGCACCTTTTGCCAAGGTACGCTGAAACATAGTGGTGGGGCTGCATTTTTGGTCACGTCATTTTGCGCTCCCTTTGAATGGGAGAGGCTGCTGGATATAATAGTTGAATTTATCAAAGTGGTATTTAGAGGATGACTCACCAAATCCCAACTGGCGTTAGATTCCCTATGATACCACTAGAGGGAGCCAAAGTTCATAATTCGACAGCTTTATAAAGGTGTTAGAGCAAATTAAAGAGAAATGTTACACAATAGATCGAAAATTGTATTTTTCCTAAACTTTGGTTCAGTGTTTATTATTTTATATAAACCTATAAGTCGTTCTCATCTGTGAGTTAATTATTAGTTCCTTCTGTTTAACCCAGTTCTTTTCTGGGCTAACTTGTGGCCAAACCTTTAATCTAAGTTTAATCAGAATAACCTGTGCTTTAGCTTTATTTTTGCTGACAAGGTCATGTGTGTCAGGTTTTGTTTAAAATATTTTGAAAATGTAAAAAAAAAGACATGATTAAGCAGAGTGGGTACAACAGTTAAAGAAAAAATGAATCAGGTTAATTTTCTAATTTTTGTCTTTTTAAAGAAAAAATGAATCATGGTTAATTTTCTAATTTTTGTCTTTTTATTTTTCCTGCAGGTCTAATCGTCGTGTCCGCCTTCGCTTTGCTTCAGTTTGAATGTCAGCGTTACACTTTCACTTTTATTTATACTGTTTTTTTTCTTTGTATTTTCTGTAAATATGAAGTCTTAACTGTTCTAACTGATCCAGGGTCGGTGTGTGTGTAAATACACGTTCACAGTGAAATAAACTCTAGTCCAACTATTCATTTGTCTGTTTGGCTGCATCTTTTTCTGCCCCATCATTTTAGGAGGAACTGATCTCAGGTGGTTTTTACGTGGACTAGCTGAAGAAAATGGACCAGACAGTGGAGGCGTCACTAAACATACAGGGCAGACTGTTGTTTTGATACAAACTCAGCACTTTCTTTATTGCGTGCACAGTGATGATAGAAATAGAAGCTGTGTGTTTTATAGAAAAGCTGGTAAACCAACCCACGGTGTACTGTACATTCAGTAACAAACAATAAATATTTTACTGTCAAACTTGTAAAAATAAACCGTCACTGATCTTGTAGACAGATTATCACAACTACGACATAAGAACTGTAATAATATATTTATCTATTTATGATTTTTTGCAGATGATTCACTTGTGTTTGGTCAAACAGATCAAAGTTGTGCGTTTACTTTTAGACACAGTTAATACAGCTGCAGAAGTCCCGCCTCCTGAAATACATCATCTTGTGACATCATAGACTAACAGTGACACTGCACAGCGCCTTCTAGTGGCCTCCGTCCAGGTCCTGAACACGGCGACAGATCTCTGAGGTAAACTCTGAACACTTGGCGTTTCCACCGAGGTCCTTGGTCAGAAACTAAGAGGAAGACAACAAACACGTCCTCATCATCTTTGCCATCACATCACATTTCATTCCTTCACAGTAAGTGTTGCAGTGCTCTGTTCTGAAAGCTTTAGTTTTTCACATAAAACAGGTTTTAAGGAAGATTTACAGGAAGTGAAAATTTAACAAATTTTATGACTTGCAATTTGAAAGCTTAAAAAAACCCCAAAACATTTATATAACAGTTCATGTATGCAATTTGAAAGCTTAAAAAAAAAAAACCCAAAACATTTATATAACAGTTCATGTCTATGTGTGTTATGTCAGTTTTGACTTTGAAAACCTCTGATTTTCTTTCTGTTTTCTCAACTAAAACAAAAATCTCAGTCCTACCTTCTTGTCTCTGATGGTGTCGAAACACGCCGTCTGGATCTTGTCTGCATGGGGGTGCAGACCCATGTGGCGTAGCATCATGACGGCACTCAGCAGCAGAGCCGTGGGATTGGCCAGGTCCAGGCCTGCAATGTCAGGGGCAGTACCATGGACCTAAAAACAGAGAGACCGTCTTAGGGGGTGTGTTCTTATCACATCAATGATAATGATGTCTCTGTCCAAACACAAATGATTAAAAAAAAAGCTGTCAACGAACCGACTCAAATATGGCCACTCCATTTGCTCCAATGTTCCCGCTGGGAGTGACTCCGAGTCCTCCGATGAGTCCGGCGCACAAGTCACTGAAGAACAAACATGTCTTCATCCTCAGTATTGTCTTCACTTTAGTTTTAATATCAAATTTAGACACGCTTACCTAAGAATGTCTCCGTACAGGTTGGGCATGACCAGGACATCAAACTGGGTCGGATCCTGAACCATCTGGAAGATCAAAACAAAAGCGGACATGTTGTAATCGTGATCATGTTGTGTGTGTTAAACAGTGCCATCATCACTCTGTGGACGTACATTGAGACACACGGTGTCCAGGTACATCTCCGTGAACTTGATGTCTTTGAAGTTTTCGGCCACCTCTCGACATTTCCTCAGGAACAGGCCGTCAGACATTCTCCTGGAAATCATGAGAAGAAGAATCAACGAGGAAGTAAAGACAAGACGACACAACTGTCAACTTTAACTGAAGCTCCGTGTGGAGACAGTAGATACTGAGCTGACTCCGCCTGGTCTCATGATGGAGTGACCAGATCAGTGAAGGACTAGCCGTCGGAGGACTTACATGATGTTAGCCTTATGTACGGCTGTCACGCTGTTTCTCTGGTTGTTGCGAGCGTATTCAAAGGCGTACTCTGCGATGCGTTTGCTGGCCTTCTCAGTGATCAGCTTAATGCTCTGAACGACACCATCCACAATCTGGAAAATGTGGAAATAAATATAATGGGAGCAAAAATTCCATACACTATGAAACAAATATTTAGAACTAGCTTAGCAAACCTTTGTGCTACGTTAAGACAGATAGTGAAGCTAATGCTAATCTTCTAATCTAAACATTTAGATCGTTTACCCACTACCGGGGGGCGTAATGGGCAACTCACCACGTGTTCGATGCCGCTGTACTCGCCCTCTGTGTTTTCACGGATGGTGACCAGGTCAACATCGGTGTACGGCGTCTTGTAGCCCTCGATGGAGATACAGGGTCGCACATTGGCATAGAGGTCAAAGGTCTTTCTGAGGAGCAGGTTCATGGAGGGGTGACCTGCCGCAATGGGTGTCTTCAGAGGTCCTGCAAGACAACACCTGTACTGATTAGTTGTATTTTTAAACACAGAAGCTAATGGGTAAGGGCTAACGGCAAAAGCGGGTGACTGACCCTTGAGTCCAATTTTACTTCTGTCCATCGACTCTTTGGCATCAGGAGGAATCATCCACCGGCCTCCTGGTCCTTTAATGGCCGTCACGTTCCTTTCCTCCCATTTGACTGGAACCTGGAGGAAAAAATCGTTATACTGTAAAAACAACATCAGCTGACTCTCTGTGAACTTCATCAAACAACTGAGAGAAACATTAGACCTTCGCAGCCTCAAAAATCTTGATGACAGCGGCCGAGATTTCAGGTCCGATACCATCTCCAGGAATCAGAGTGACCGTCTGCATCTGTGAGCACAGAGACAGACACACAGTAACGGCAGATGCTACAGGTACTGTATGTAGTAATGCAGTGTACATCACAGCTCAGTTGTTTTAATTAAGTTGACTGCTATTAGTTGTTTGAGTAAATGAAATATTGTTCCTTGACAACTGTGTCAACGTCAAGTAGTGTGGAACCGATCATTGTTTTAAGTACTGGGCCGAGGGTCCAAGGCCAAATTCTACACTTTAAAATACATGACCACTGAAGGGAGATCAAGTTACTGTGCGTGTGTGTGTGTGTGTGTCACCCCTCACCCCTCTTCTGGAAACTGAAGACTGAATGGAGCTCCTCCTCACCCATCCTACGACCTGGGACAGCTGAAAAGAAAAAGAATAATTAACATTTTATTCATAACTACTACTGAGCACACAAAAATTTCCATAGCAACTATCATGATTTAACAAAACATTGGTATTTATACACTTACGCGTGAGCCATGTTAGCTGTACAGAAAATCAAAGCTGGTTTCTTCCTAAACCCCTGTTGGTTTGTTACAATAATTCCATTTAAAACGTTTAAATATTATTAATATCTTGTGTTTGTAAAAACGGTTAGGTGATTCCATATGCAACCGAGAGACTCAAAGTAGCGGTCGCCGGGTGTGAAGACTGTCATCTGCGTGCTGGAGGACACACACACACCCATGTAGCTAATAAGCTAACGGCTAACAGTAAACATAAGAGTAAGATAAGATGGGCACAGAGGTGACACAGACAGCAACAACTACACAGTTATACACACAAATAAATCTAACGTCACCAAAAGTCAAACAATGATGTCGTGTCATTCTACGATTTTATCTTTCTTACCGTTGACCTCCACAAGCTACCTGCCATTCTGCTCCGAACAAAGATCCTGTGAGACAGACAACACTCTCACTCCGGCACGAGTTCCGAAGCTAATCGGGAAGTGTAGTCTCACGTCACACTTCGTACACTGTACGTTTATGAACCACGCCCTATACGAAGAACGCAATCATTCTGCTTTGATCTTTACTGGATTACATATTTTGTTCACCGGCTGCATTACTATGGAACAGCTAAAGACTTGAATTCAGATCTTTCGAATGGGAGTGATGCGTCACACTGTTGGTGGGGAATTACTGAGTACTAAGTTCCACCTCATTACGCATGTGCTGAAGAAGAAGAAGTTAGGAAAAGTATAAAAGAAGGAAAGAAGTTATGGCGGGGTTGAACAGAATAGAGTAAAGTTGCTACGTTGGAGCTGAAGAAGATTGGATGACATGGAGAAAATTACCATTTTTCATTATAACTACAAAATTGAGCTTTTGTCCCTTCAAGATGGCGCCTGATGTACCAGTAATTGACGGCCATATCCGTCAATGTCGGACCGGGATGGACTGTTGATGAAGTGATGAGAGAGACACCGTAAACCACGAAGATATGGAAGTGACAACCTTTAAAAATGGTAAAAATTATTTAAATGTTGATTATTATTCCGAGTTTATACTCATTAAAGTAAAATGCTTATTACAAGGGTTGTATCCAGACAAATTATTTCCTCGTTTTCCCTTATTTGTGGCACAGTAAGAAAATGACACTCAGTTGTAATAGTAACAAATCTTTTCTCTACATGCCCCCTGTACGCTACAATTGGTATTACACTTGGTGTGCGCCGTTGAAAACACGTGATCCATAAATTAGGAATTTGTGTCCAATTAAGGTGAGCTCTCTCGAAATGCATTGTGGGCATTGTAGTTTATAATGAAAGCATTTAAGGGCGTAAGACGAGGTGGCCGAGTGGTTAAGGCGATGGACTGCTAATCCATTGTGCTCTGCACGCGTGGGTTCGAATCCCATCCTCGTCGGCATACAATGTTTTTTGTTTTCTACATGATCTTCAATCCCTCACCCAAGCTGAAAAGCGTAGGGAAGGTCATTCAGAGTAAGACCACAGTCAAATCATTCTTTGTACATGTGGCTCCCCCCCACGGAGGGAAACACAAAAAGGCATTATCAGGCCCCTGAAAACCACAGAAGCGTTCATAAAGCAATACTATTTGCTTTCAAAGAATATTATTATTACTGTTATAACTATTATAGTGCTCCAAGTATTTCATTTTTATTTTAATTTAATTTCCGCTATCATTCTGTTGCTTCTTCTATCATGTTGCGACTATTATATTTGTATATAGATACTATTTGTGCTCCTGCTATTGCCTCGATATTGTAACTAATATAGATCTGTTATATTTATTATTTTTTGCACAATTGGTTTTTAAGTTATTAAATTTTAGTTAATGTTTTATAATCTCCGAACCTCTCGTTTACTTTCTATAGCTATGTGCTGCCACCTAGTGGAATAATCTTTGATCGTTCTGCCTGTCACTGTCACGTTAACAAACTTAGACCATTTATTAACGGTAAATAAATAACAACTTTCACACCAATCGAGTAAAATCAAGACTAATATACCACGGTGGTCCTGATGTTCTGTCATGTCACACTAATGTGCTTTCCTGATTGGGAATCAGTGCTGTCCTGCGGTCATTGCTGTGGTAGTTCTGATAAGTTAGCAACAGTAATCCTAGCTGTTCAGCTGTTCAACTACTAATGAAGTCATTATGGAGTTCAGAGTCAGAAATCAAATAAAAACAATTAAAGGATTATTATTATTATTATCTGATCATTTTTATTTTTTCTTCTGCAAAACAACCAGACTGAGTCAGGCGGTTCAGTTTGGATGAATTATGACTTATTTTGTATGTAAAGTCCAAAGCACTGACCTTGGTAATATTGAAGGTTGCAGACATGAACAGCCAGCATCATTTTCTTGATTGCGTGTTCCTTAGACGGGTTATCTCGGGCCAGTAAAATATTCCTGCACATGATTTCACTTCAATTATCTAATAACAAAAACGTTTTTTTACCACCTTTACCATTATCTCTGTCGTTCCTGTCAAATTCTCCATCCCATTTATTTAGTCTTTTGAGGGGAAGACATTAGCAGGTCGTTCCTGAGCTAAGTAAGCACAAGAGAGTATGAAGGTTCAGGGACAACAGACGATGAACTACAGTAATACTGTATTTAAAATGTCTGTGTTTTCACTGAGGTCCACAGTTTTTTTATTGATGTGTCTATGGAGCGACTGTGGTGGAGGTGATGGTCGTCAGTTGGTGTGGTAAATACAGTAGATGGAGACGCTCTGGATGAGCATGGACTCTGGAACCTCTGGCCATGTGTCTTCATATGTACCTGCTCACTTTACTGCCCGCCTCCTCAACCCCTCGACCCCCGTTGACCTCCTTTAGGCCAGCTATTGTAATGGTTTTTAGGACATGGGAAGTCAAAGGAGTGTGTCACACACACATGCGCATTTATACTGATGTGCAGTGGTCAGTGTTTCACTGACCCCTGCACATCATTTCTAGTTGTCGGTTCCATAGTGTAGCGGTTAGCGCGCCTGCAGGAGAGCATAGAGTCCTGGTTTCAATAACCAGAGGAACCACATACTTGGTGCCTGGTGCAGCAAATCTGCTGTTAATTTCCCAGATATGGGGTCAATAAAGTTCAAATTATTATTATCACCCTTTTATGTCAACAGGCTTTTAATTGAATTGTAGTGACGTCGTCGTCTGTCCTTATATTGTAGTTCGATTTGTAGGAAATCCGAAAAAAATCTTTATCTCTGATGCAGCATTCAAGAAATACAATTTGTCCTAAAATATGTACTAAAAATTACCATAAAATAATTTAGCACATTTTTAAAATGTACATTAAATACTCCACGGCATCAAGTATTGGATAGTGAGTAATGAGAACACCTGTGGAAGTTGATGGCGTCTCTGAAGGATGCCGTGGAGGTGAGGTCAACGCAGCCACTGTAAAGACACTAAGATACAACAGGGGTTTGGACAGTGGTGTCTGAACATGAGGTGCATCAGCTCATCAATAAGAGCTGTGATATCTGCTGCAGTCTGAACAACACTGATAACAACCAAACAAACACAGATGTGTTTCCTCAGACTGGGGTTTATATAACACACTGTCCAAATACACTGATATCTGACAAGGAAACACAAGTTCAAGTGTTCTCTCCAAAATAAATACTGTAGTTCAGAGAGAGAACACTGGACTCTCTGGAGCTGTATTGCACATCAGCATTACAGCTCCCCTTGAAGGACCATTTTCTGCAATTGATTATTATTTCAATTCAAATCACAAATATTTGTGTGGAGCTGTATTGCACATCAGCAATACAGCTCCCCTTGAAGGACCACTTTTCGCAATTATTTCAATTCAAATCACAAATATTTTTAATTTCTGTGTTATTAAAAAATATCAGTTTGAGAAACTCAGCAGCATGGACTTGATAATGAGGTGATTGAACATTTTTTAAGCTCCTTCAGGCCACACAAAATGATGGTGGGCTACCTGTGGCCTGTGGGCCTTGAGTTTGACACATATGGTTCACCTAAATATATGTTGAGGTATCTATAAAAGCACCTATTTCTCATTCTGTTTTTCACAACTTGTTTGTGATGAGTGCTGAAAAAAAACCTTCATTTTCTCATTCTGTTTTTCACAAATTGTTTTTGATGAGTGCTGAAAAAAAACCTTCATTCACTATTTTCCCTTTTTCATTCCCCACTTTGTGTTCATTTTCAGGTCAACTCTAGTGAGATCATGTTGTCCTCCGCTCATGATGTCCAGGAGGTGGCAGGCGTCCAGGCCACCACCTGGTTAGGAGACCACTTTGGTGAAAAGTTCCACAGGTTTGGATATTAACACAACAATACAAGTAAAATTACAAGACAAGGCCAAAACACACACACACACACAGTTTAGTGGTCTGAGTGACAGTAGCTCAGAATTTTGTGAAACATTGTTAGTTTTAACGCAGTTCCCAACATAGGGGGCGTGGAAAGATCGAGGCCAAATTGATAAAGATCACAAACCAACCTTCCAACCAACTTCAAGACCTGCAGCTTGAAGATCAGCTTTGTAATCCTTATATTTAAAGGCGGTGGGGGACAGTGGGGGGGCACCTTCACTTCCCTCCATGATTCCTGCACACGTCCAGACGAGGAGAGTGTTTTGAGTCCTTATCGTTTGTTCACCCGTCTGGGCCGCTGCCGACTAAACAGCTGTCCT